GGTTTTTTTTTTTTTTTTTTTTTTTTTTTGGTGACCTCTTTTAAAACACAAAGAACCCAAAATGGGATGAATTCATGAATGGGAATTTTTTTTTTTTTCCCTCAAGCCCAGAGGCTGAGAAAAGCTCTTAGCAGAGCCCAAATCAGCCCCTTGCACCTGGAGACCTCTCACAGATCATCCCAAAAGGATTTGCTAATGGAAAAGGTGCAGGAAGATGCTCAGGAAGCAAAACTCATGGGAGCAACAATTTTACAGCATCCCATGGAAGATAAACCATTGCTTCTTCCCTTAAAAAAAAAAATATATATATATATTATTTTTTTTTTTCCCCACAAAGATTTTATTTCCTCCACTCAGGAGACAGCGTTTAAAAGGCAGAAGGAAATTTGGAAATTTGTTCAGCTTCTTTCAGGATAAAAAAAAAAACAACAACAACAAAACACGGGAAAGTGTTGCCAGAGCTGGACATCCTCTGCTGTGTGACGCTCCCGAGGGGCAGGAAAACACTGGAATATTTAATTTTTAAACCCCATTGTTTTTAAACCCAGACCAGGGTGACTCCAGAGCCGCTGGCTTTGCTATTCCTGCCACATTCCTGGAAAAGCGATTCCAGGGATGGGCGATTTCCAGCGGCATCCTCCTCCTCCTCCTCCTGCCTGTGCCTGGAGCTCGCTCAGAAAAGCGGGAAAACAAGCAGGGAAAAGCTGAAAGTAAGGGGGGGAAAGCAGAAAGTAAGGGGGGGAAAGCAGAATAAAAGCAGAAAATAAGGGGGAAAAAAAACCAGGCAAAAATGGGAAAAAAGCCGAATAAAAGCAGAAAATAAAAGCGGTAAAAAAGCAGAATAAAAGAGAAAAAAGGCGGGAAAAAAAGTGGGAGAAAAGCAGAAAAAAAAAGTAGAAAAAAGCCAGGAGAGGCCGCAGGCAGCCGTTTCCCCTCTGGAGGAGGATCCTGGAGCTCGTGGTGCCAAACCAGGCCCGGGCTCCTGTCCCGGCCACCCCGGGTGTTCCCAGGTCCCCTGTCCTGACTCAGGACCGCAGGAATCTCGATTTTCCAGCCTCACATGGAGCTGCCTGTGAGGTTCAGAGCCCAGGGAAATCCAGGAATTCCCCCTTGGAATGGGATGAGAAACAAAGAGATGCTGCCCCGCGCTTCAAAATTTTCACACCTTTTTTTTTAATTTTTTTTTTTCCTAAAAAACACGATTAAAAACCTGTTTAAAACTCCTCAGCTCTCCCAGCTTCCACGAGGGATATTTCCCAATATTCTGGAAATAAAACGAAGCCTTCAAAGTAGCTAGCACGAGATTAATTTAATGAATCAAGTGAGGGAATCGATGGAATAAAATTACTGCAGTCCCAACATCGATTCATTTGGGAGGAGGTATTTAAATAGAGATACAAAAATAAATATATTTTGCATTTGTATCCCCGGCAAACAGCTCCAAAAGCTGCTAAAGAGCCTCTCAGAGCTGGCAAAAGAGAGAAGTAGGTGAGGAAATCGCTTTCCTGTTAATAGCAGCGATTGAAAAGCTTTTAATAAAAGGCAGGGAAGGGAGGCAGAAATCTGGGGCCGGTTTGAACGGCAACAAAGCACCTGGGGAAGCCAAAGCAGCCGAGCTGGGAGCCAAGATCCACCCGGGCTGAGCCACGGGGCCACAAACGGGGCTTTGAGAGGGCAAGGAAGGGACAAAAACCCTCAGCCAACCCCACCTGGGCACTGCCAAGGGGCCAAAATATTCCTCAGGGCAGCTTTAGGATCCAGCTCAGGCAAAAAATAGAAAATTTTCGAGGCTCCCCATGACCATCAGCTGAGAGTGAGGAGCTCTCAGAGCTCCCCCACTCGTGCAAAGCCTCCAGATTTGTTTATTTAATGCGGAACTGTCACTTCCCGAGCTGAGTTTCACTCGAGAAGTTCATTAGAATTTTGTTTTCGCTTCTGAGGAAAGCATTGTTTGGAACTTCCTCCCCGGAGCCGCCTTCCTGTTGATGTGAAATCGAGATTTAAATCGGCGCCCACCTCGGGGTTTGGTTCATCTCTCATTGCTCCGTTTACAAAGGGGCGGTTTCGCCATTCTCTGGGAATTTTCAGCTTGTGAAAATTCCATTTCATTGTGCCTGTCCCCAGGTGTGAATGGCCTGCAGGGACAAGGAGGTGACACAGCCCCGTGACACAGGAAGGTTTTTTTTTTTTTTCCTCCCAGTTTCAGGCTGGACAAAACTTTTAAGTCACCACTGAAGTCATTAAAAACTCAAATGTTCCTCACCAGCGAGCCAAAGCTCTGGAAAACCGGGATTTCTGAGCAATAAAAATGCTCCTTGGGCTACCAACAAGACCCACAAACATCAGCCCAGCTCCTCCTTCAATAATCCAGAATTTTCCTCTGATGTGTGAAAAAATCCGAATATTTCCAGGTGGCATCTCCGTGCCTCAGTTTCCCCCAGAGTCCAGTGTGCAAAGCACCTGAGCAACTCCAAAAAACCAACACTTACAGGCTGAAAAATCACTAAAATAATGTATTTACACTGCTGATAGCAAGCACTTGGCAAAGCCTCGGTGGCCGGGGGAATTCCCTCAATTTGGGCCTTGCAGGAAGCAAGGAAGGAAACAAAATCCACGTCCTCTGTGGCCACTGGGCAGCTCCAGCTGTGCCCTGGCCTCGCTGTTCCTCTTCTCTCCCTTCCCCGTGGGTTGTCCTCGCATTTCTCTCCTTCCCTGCTCCAACCCTGCAACCCCAAGGTCGCCTTCACCTTGTCCCAGCCAAGCCCCTGGGCAAGAGCTTTGTGAATCAAAAACCCCGCTTGGCCCAGGACACGCCGTAAATTTGCATCTGAACCGATCTGCGGGGCTGGCTCTGCTCCTTGGGGGATTTTTAAGTGGATTTCAGCGATTTGACAGATTTATTGGGCTCGGGAGTTCCCCTGGGTCTGTCTAGAGCCGCGTTGGGGTCAGGGGTTAAGGACCCCGCATTATAAAAAGCAGAAGTTTAAAGGCTGAGCCTGGATTTTTTTATTTTTTTTTTTTTTTTGTTTCTCCAGCATTAAT